CCTCCTCCAAGACTTCCAATTCCCTGGCTCCCAAACCTCATCTTCACTATGGACATCCAATCCCTGTACACTTGTGTCCTCCATGCAGATGGCCTAAAAGCCCTTTGCTTCTTCCTCTCCCACAAGCCCATCTAGTCCCCCTCCACCGCCACCCTCATCTGCTTAACTGAACTCATCCTTAACCTTAACAACTTCTCCTTTAATTCCTCCCACTTCCTACAGACTAAGGGGGTGGCCACGGGCACCTGCATGGGCCCAAGCTATGCCTGCCACTTCGTAGGATACGTGGAACAGTCCCTCTTCCGCTGCTACACTGGCACTATCCCCCACCTCTTCCTTCACCACACTGATGGCTGTATTGGTGCTGCCTCATGCTCCCACAAGGAGCTTGAACAGTTCATCAACTTTACTAACACCTTTCACCCGAACCTCAAATTCACCTGGACTATCTCCGATATTTCCCTCTCCTTCCTGGACCTGTCTCCATTTCTGGTGACTGCCTCAAAACCAACATCTATTTCAAGCCTACCAACTCCCCCAGCTACCTGGACTACACCTCTTACCCACTTTCCTGCAAAAAAAAAAAAATGTGATCCCCTACTCCCAATTCCTCTGTCATGTCTGCTCCCAAGATGGGGCGTTCCACTCCCACACATCCCGGATGTCCTCCTATTTCAACTTCCCCATCCCCCTCCTCTGGTGATCAAAAATGCTTTCAACTGCATCTCTTATGTTTCCCACACTCTGTCCTCACATCCCCTCCCTCCAACAAAAATAAAGACAGAATCCTCCTTGTCCTCACATATCACCCCACCAACCTTCACATCCAACACACTTCCGCCACCGACAAACAGACCCCAGAACCAAAGAGATATTTCCCTCCCCATCCCTATCTGCCTTTCGTAGGGACCGCACTCTCAGTGACTCCCACATCCGCTCCACACTCCCCACTAACCCCACCACCCTGGCACCTTTCCCTGCAACCGCAGCAAGTGCTACACCTGCACCTACACCTCCATTCAAGGCACAAAACAAACCTTCCACATTAGACAGGGGTTCATGTACACATCCATCAAGTTGATCTACTGGATCCGCTGCTCCCAATGTGGCCTCCTCTGCAAATCGGTGAGACCAAGCAGAGACTCACAAGACCGTTTTATAGAACATCTGCATTCTGTATGCGAAAAACAACACCTTCCAGTTGCGAACCATTTTAACTCCCAATCAACACCCTGGGCCTCCTCCAGCGTCATAAATTGGAGGAACAGCACCTCATATTCCACTTCAGGAGCCTACAGCCCGATGGCCTAAACATGGATTTCACCAGTTTTAAAATCACCCCACCTCTGGCCTCATCCCATATCCAACTCTCCCACTCTTCCCCACCTCCTTGACCTGACCTATCCATCTTCTCTCCCACCTATCTGCTCCTCCCACCTCATTGACCAATCCCCACCACTCCATACCTGCACTCACCCATCATTATTCCATCTACCTTCACCTGCCCCATCCCTCATCTCTATTTATTTCTGAGCTCCCTTCCCCCTCCCCATTTCTGAAGAAGGGTCCTGACCCAAAAGGTCAATTTTCCTGCTCCTCTGATGCTGCCTGGCCTGCTGTGCACTTCCAGCTCCACACTTATCTCTGACTCCAGCATCTGCAGTTCTTGCTATCTCTGCTTGGTATTATACACCATTTATTTAATAAACAACATACAACCTCAAAGTTAGGTGCCACAAAATATGCAGAATAATCATGAACCCATGTAAGTTTTAATTAGTATTATAATTTTGCTTAAATTTTCAAGCTACATTTTAAACACAGTTGAAATTCTAACTATAAACTTGGAATTTCCTCCGAGTTCATCCTCTTCTCTGACACAGCAACACCAGCAGAACCACTGTTCGAACAAAGCTGATTTATTGGCACCAACTAGACAAATTTTAAACTTTGTCTTGAAATAGGAGGTAGGGAATGACTGGAAGCCTGTCAATAGGAGACAAACTATCATATATGCAGAACTTCAAATGCCAGGAAGACAAAGTGCTTGGAAAACTCAGCAGATTTTACAGCAACTGTGGAGAAAGCAACAAAGTTAGCATTTCAGGCTGACACCCTTTGATCAAAATTGAAAATATTAGAGACAAGTTTGATGCAAATACAGAGGTGGGAATGGTGGGAGAAGAATAAAAGGTAAGGTTGTGAAAGGATGGTGCAGTTCAAAAGCATGTGGTAAAGCAATCAGAAATAAAAGATGGATCTGGAAGAGGAGTAAATAGCTGTTAAACCAAAATAAACAGAGGTTATATCTGAAATTGGTGAACTTAGTATGGAGTTCAGAATCTATGAAGTTCCTAATTAAAAGATTGAGTTCTCTTCCTTTGAGTTTCATTTCAAGTGTTGGCAGATGAAGGAATGATTACAGCAGAGTGAGGTGAAGGATTAAGATGACAAGTACCTTGAATATCAGCGCTTGGAGACTGAAGTGCCACCTGCTTCAAATGAGTGTTACATCATGTCTGGACAAGTTGATTAAAAATATTTATCAATACTGTGGCTACAAATCGGGTCAAGGGCTCCTGTGGTGAGTAACTCACCTCTTGTCCACAATCTACAACACACAAGTCAAGAATGAGATCGAACATTTCCTATTTGCCTGGATGAGTGCAGCTGTAACACAATATGGGTGACACCATCCAGGACAAAGCAGACTGCTTGACTGGCACCACTTCCACAAATATTCTGCCCCACTACCACCCATGTTCAGTAGCAGCAGTGTGTACCATCCACAAGAAGCACTACAGAAATTCACCAAGAATCCTTAGACCACATGTTCCAAATCCATGACGTTTACCATCCAGATGGACAAGGGCAGCAGATACATGGGAACACCAGCGTCTGCAAGTTCCACTTCAAGCTCCTCACTTTTGGAAGTATAATCATTGTTTCTTCAGTGTTGCGGAGTCAATATCCTCAAACTCCCTCCCCAGTGTCATTGAGGGTCTGCTTTACAGCAAATGGACTGCTTCAACTATTCAGCTCACCATCACCCTCTCAAGGGCAATTGGGGATGAGCAATAATGGTTGGCCCAGCCAGCAACGCCATAATTCAGTGAATGAATTTTTAAAAATATTAAACAGAATACAAATCAACAATTGTTTGACCCTGAAGAAGTGTTTGGGCACATAAAGGAAGTTAAAAAAGGGAAGATATCGCTTGTACTAGGTTTGCACAGGATGGCGCTATGGGAAGGGCAGAGCGTTTCGGGATATTTGAAGCAGTATGGTGGAGGGAAAGATCCCTTTGGAATGTTGAAAGAAGACGGAAGAGGCAGGAAACATTTTGTATTAGCACCAATATTCTAAGCTGCACAAACATGCAGCAATCTTGAAATTCCTGCACAAGTGTACACAAGTTGCTTCCTTTAAAGTTATCACATATCTGCAGCTGAGCAAAGAAAATTAAAAGGCCTATTCACATAAGTGAACAGGCTGTACAGATCGGGAAAAAATGTTAATAGGTATATAGATGCAAATACTAAATGCAAGGAATTTACCTCCTAGGTTTTAGCATTTGAGCCCAGGAAATTAACATTCCATTCCCAGAGATGCCTGGACAATCCAGGGACACTTAGCAAACCTAACTTCACAGATCATATAACAGTTACCCTCCCACTGCTACACGGATCAGAGAATAAGACCAACACGGTCTCCCAAATATTGAGCAGATAGTACCTCATAATGAGTGAAAGTCAAGACCACATATTTTCCACCCCATTATATAGATTGTTCGAAACAATCACTGCAACCACCATTACAGCTCACCCTCCACCTCCCGCAGCGATCGGCAATCACGGAACTTACCCTCTTCCTTTGTCCACTACCACCTCCCACCTCCCACCTCAACCCTTCTTTCAACAACTTCTACCTCAATCAACAATCCATATTTAGCTTAAAAGTAAAAATTAGATCCCGGGATAAAACGCGTTGGCCAAAGCACACGCGTATAGGGAAGTGGACCACGTGCCCCGGAACTGCTCACGGACAAGTCACATTGGGTAACATTCCTTTCGATCATCTGTGGCGTTTCATTGTTTTCTTATGTAGTGACCTAATAAGAGTTAAAGTTCAGTTGGATTAAGTAGTCCTCATTGATTCTCCACGGGCAAGTTAAAAAGAAATGGAAACGCAAAACGTGTTGGAGATGTAAGACCGCAACTTAGTGGTCTCTGTCTTCCTGTGAAGGATGTTGACAATGGCGCGGCTGTTGTGCAGGAGCCGTTGGAGTCTCGCAGTGCTCAGGAATTTCAGTTCGGCGTGTGCTGGCTCCTCGTGCTTGAACCCGGTATCCCGGATAGGCACTGCGGGCGAGCAGCAGGAGGCCTCTCGCTGGAAACCAGCTCGAGCGCAACGTAGGAGCCGGAGCAGCGGAGCCGTGTTGGCAGGACAACAGCTGCTGTTGTCCGAAACCCTGTCTGAGTGGGAGAAGCAGCTGCTTGACCGGCTGATCGACGGACTGCTGGGTGGACAGAGATCATGCCTGGCGGAGGCGATCACCCTAGTGGAGTCGTCTCACAAACACAAGAAGTGTTTGGCTCGGTTACTACTGCAGAGAATATTAACCTGTCAAAAGGAGCGAGAGCGTCCGAATGGAGGGAAGCCGCTGTCCTTTAGAGTGGGTCAGTACCGCTCTTTATCATTCGGTGTCGGGTAATGTTGATAGAAACAAAAAAAACTTTCCATGGAAGAAATCATTTGGCTCATTATTACTTTTCAACAGACGCAAACATAACGCAGCCTGAATCTCATTTTCCAATGCTTGGTCCCTGACGCTGTACGTTATCGATTTCAAAAGTGTTTTTAAATGCAACGAGGCCTTCTGTCTTTATGGCCCTTTTTGGCAATGCGATCATGACTCTGCACCACACTCCATCTTCCTTCCAATTACTTTAAATCTATGCTTCCGGGTTATTGACATTTATAGTAATTGAAATGGGTGTTTCCACTGTATGTGGACCTCCCTAGCTTTATACAGCTCAATTACGTTTCCTTTCAGCACCTTTATTTTACATAGAAAATACTGGGTAAACTGGATTGTTTTCTTTAGAGCCAATTTTTTTTTTTGTTAAAGTGCTGCATAACATTTGTGACTAGAGTTATCACCTTTAGTAGATTGATCTTGGATATAAAGAGATTTTTTTTTGAGAGTTTGGCTATGTTGGGCACATACTCATTTGTGTTTTGAAGAATGAGAGACTTTATTGAAACATATTCTTTGTGTATTTGATAGGGTAGATACTGGGAGATTGTTTTCCCTTGAGGAAGAATCTAAAACCAGAGAGCATAATTTGAGCAAAGAGTCATCAATTTGAGATAAAAATGAAGAGGAATTTTTTTCTGAGATTAGTGAATCTATGGAATTCTTTACTGTGTAGAGCTGCCGAGGCAGGATCTTTCATTAGTGTCAATAATGAGATTTTAATCAATAAGGGAATCAAGGATTATTAGGAAAAGACAGGAAAGTCGAATTGAGGATTATCACATCAGCCATGAAGACATTGAATGACAGATCAGACTCAGTAGGCCCAATAGTTAACTTCTACACATTAAGGCCTTAAAATAAACAGGACAGTAGTGTCACAGATAAAAAGTTGGCTGAGTGACTGGCAACCTAGTAGTGGCATTTGTTTTTCTTATACATTAATGACCTAGGTAATTGGTGTGCATAGCATAATTTCAAAATTTGCAGATATGACAGTTGGAAGGATTGTGAACCGTAAGTAGTATTAAAACTTCAAAAAGACATTGACTGCTTGGTGAAATAGGTGAACCCAGTGGCAGATAAAGTTTAATGCACAGAGTGTTAAGTGTGAGGATCTGCATTTTGGAAAAGCAAATCAGGGCAGGACTTATACACTTAATTGTGAAGTCCTGGGGAGTGTTACTGAACAAAAGAGACCTTGGAGTGCAGGTTCATAGTTCCTTGGAAGTGGAGTCGCAGGTAGATAGGATTGTGAAGAAGGTGTTTGGTATGCTTGCCTTTATTGGTCAGTGCATTGAGCATAGGAGTTGGGAGGTTTTGTTGAGGCTGTACAGGACATTGGGTAAGTCACTTTTGGAATACTGTGTGCAATTCTAGTTGCCCTGCTATAAGAAGGATATTGTGAAACTTGAAAGGGTTCAGCAAAGATTTACAAGGATGTTGCCAGGGCTGGAGCATTTGAGCTGCAGGGAGAGGCTGAATAGACTGGTGCTGTTTTCCCTGGAGCATCGGAGGCTGAGGGGGGACCTCGTAGAGGTTTATAAAATCATGACGGGCGGATAGTGTAAATAGACTGGGTCTTTTCCCAGGGGTGGGCAGTCCAAAACCAGGTGGTATAGGTTTAAGGTGAGAGGGGAAAGATTTAAAAGGGATCTAAGGGGCACTGTTTTCATGCAGAGGGTAGTGCATTCATGGAATGAGCTGCCAGAGGAAGTGGTGAAAGCTGGTAAAATTACAACATTTAAAAGGCACCTGGATGGGCATATGAACAGGAAAAGTTTAGAGGAATATGAGTCAAATGCTGGCAAATGGGACTATATTTATCTAGGATATCTGGTTGGCATGGATGAGTTGGACCAAAGGGTTTGTTTCCGTGCTCTATGACTCTGATTGTATGATGCATTTTGGTCAGAGGAATGTGGACATAAAATATAGAGTACAGTTCTAAAGGGGATACAGGAATGGAGAAACCTGGGCTGTTTGATAACCTGAGAGTGCATGTAAAATGATTCAGCATTCTCCGCTTCGTTAAAAGGGTCCTGAAGATGCAATTAAGTCATGCTGACCGTGTATAAAATATTGGTTTGGCCTCAATTAGCGTATTATTTCCAGTTCTTATCATCACACTTTAGGAAAGATGTGAAGGCATTAGAGTGCAGAAAAGAGTCACAAAGTGGAGCTGTTACTTTGACTACTAAAATGACCACTGTTGGCACGTGCAGATGGGGCCAGTGATGTTGACTGGTTGCAACAAACTTTGATATTTGTCTACACATATGCTGCTGTTGTCACCACGTGCAGTGATGTTGGCACAAGTGCAAACTACCCTGCCTTTGGTTTTTTTTAAAATAATTGGCACTATTCCTATTTCTCCAGTTCCTATATTTTATGCAGAAGAACGTAGTACAAATTGGATCATGTAAAGGAATGGTGCGACCTAGATTAAACTTTATGTAGAATATGGCAATGCTGCAGTTTGTATTATAAAATAACAGATTTATCTGATGTTCCAGGTTATGCAGTTTGCCACTCTTATCCCAAATCAAATTCACATTATCTTGCTGCAGTTCCTGGATTAAAGGGGTCATTTCTAACACTGTGTATTGGTCCTTCCCATATTTGCTGTGGCTGCCACTCTGTCGCTGAGTATTGTCATTGCAGTACAGTTCTTTTCCTTTTGTGTGCATATTCATTGCTCTATGATCATAATTGCAGCCCTAACAACAATGATCCTGGGGTGATGAACTTCAGTTACGTAAATGGGAGAAGTTTGGGCTGCTTTCCTTGGAAGAGGCTCAGAGGAGAGTTGATAAAAGATATAATTAAAGTATGTTGGGAGGGTGCAGAGGATGTTCACTTGAATGTTACCTGGGCAGTAGTGTTTCAACTATGAAGAGAGACTAGATAGGCAGGAACAAAAACAAAGTTGCTGAAAAAGCTCAGCAGGTCTGGCAGCATCTGTGAAGGAGAAAACAGAGTTAACGTTTCGGGTCCGGTTCTGAGGAAGGGTCACCGGACCCGAAACATTAACTCTGTTTTTTTCCTTCACAGAAGCTGCCAGACCTGCTGAGCTTTTCCAGCAACTTTGTTTTCCTGATTTACAGCATCTGCAGTTCTTTTGGTTTTTACTTAGATAGGCAGGGCTTGTTTTCCTTGGAATAGAGAAGGCTGCAACTAATGTGTTCAAAATTGAGAGACGTTGATAGTTAGAAGCATTTTCCTCTTAGAAGGGTCAGTATGCAGGGGCATAGGTTTAAGATGAGGGCCAAGATGTTGAGGATGAAAGATTTCACCCATAGGATGGGGAGTATATGCAATTCACTGCCTGAAAGGATTGTAGAGATAGGAACATTTGTGAAGTGTTCAGATGAATATCTGAAATGCCATAGAATTCAAGCGTATGGGCCAAGTGCTGGAAAATCTGATTAAAACAGATTGCTGCTTAGCAAGCAGCTCCGACATGATGGGCTGAAGGTGTTCTTTCCATATTTTAAAACTGACTGTTCAAAAATAATAGGTATCTAGATAACAGTTTTTCTGTTTTCTATCAATACTCTACTCTACTCCCATTTGTAGAAGGATTGAGGACAAAGGGATACAATTTTATGGTAATTGTAAAGGAAGAAATGGAGTCATGAAGTAAGCAATCTCATGCAGAAAGTGGTTGGAATCTTAAATACATTGCCAGAGAATGCTGTGGAGGCATGTTCAAGTAAGGCATTTGAAGGAACCATGAAGATGCTGTGGGGAGAAAGCTGGGAGTGGCACCAGATAAAGTGGCCTAAATGGCTTCCTGTTTTGCAACTACTATGATTCTGGGCAATACTGTTATTGATATACTCAATTCTCCAGTGGTCAAGTTTTTTTATTTTTGACAGCTACTCTTGAGATTTCTCAATGGCTACTTTTTCATTTTCAGGGACTCCCTTTTTCATTGCCACTAATTCATTTGTTAGGTGATGCAGTCATGCAGTAACAATGCCTTCTCTATTTGTGTTGACTTATGGGGGATCTACAGTTGTACAGAAACAGAATTAGAAGAAATTGTCACTATTGTCAATCAGTTCTCCCTTAAACTTAAAGCTGCAATGCAATGAAAGCATTAGTTTCCTAGATACCACAGTTTAAAATGGTACAAGACAACAGATATAAGTTAGCAACAAAGGTTTTTAATCAAACAGTTTGTGAAAAACTATGACAACTATCAATGTAATCATACTTAATTAGCTGTGACCTTACTGGTTTATAAATAAAGTCCCATTTCTTTTGCACAAACCTGGAACAGTTTAAACCTGGTACTTAGACCTTTTTTATAATACATTCAGATTTAAATTTAACCATCAACAATTACAGTGGGTTCTATGACATTTTTTCCAAGTATACTACCTCCTGAAATTATGAAGCCTAAACTGGAGATTCCACATTTATTTTCAAGGAATTCGTGACTTTGATGATTAAAATTTTTTCCTTGGAATCCAAACAGCTCAGCATTCCTTTGTTTCATGGGTTTAAAAAGTATTCTCTTTCCATTGCAGTCTCCCTCTCACAGCCTTGTAGCTCACCTTTCTCAGCTATCTTACAGCCTTTTGCCCTGCCTGAGCCAGACTCATGGTGGCTGCCTCTGCAGGTGCCTGCTTGTTGGCCCATGCCCATCTGGGGCTGGCCTCCTCCCCATATGTATTAGATAGCAGGACCTAGTAGCAGAAGTAGGCATTCAACTCCAGTCTCCTCTGGCATTCAATGAGACCATGACTGATCAGATGATCCTAAGCTCCGTCTTCCTGACTTTTTTCCATAACCCTTGATTCCCTTAATTAAAAATTTCGTCTATCTCCATAGAGTCATATAGCACAGAAACAGACCCTTCGCTCCAACCAGTCCATGCTGATCATAATCCCAAACTAACTAGCCCCACCT